ACCCACACCCACACCCACACACCCACATGCACACGCACAGCACACGCACACGCATGCGCACACGCGCACGCACGCGCACGCGCACGCGCGCACGCACAAGCACACGCACACGCACACGCACACGCACACGCACACGCACACGCACACGCACACGCACGCGCACGCGCACGCGCACGCGCACGCGCACGCGCACGCGAACGCGCACGCGCACGCGCACGCGCACGCGCACGCGCACGCGCACGCGCACGCGCACGCGCACGCGCACGCGCACGCACGCACGCACGCAAGCACGCACGCACACACGCACACACACAGACACACACACAGACACACACACAGACACACACAGACACACACACAGACACACAGACACACAGACACACAGACACACAGACACATAGACACACAGACACACAGACACACAGGCACACAAACACACAGACACGCAGACACACAGACACACAGACACACAGACACATAGACACACACACACACACAGACACACAGACACACAAACACACAGACACACACACACGCACACACGCACACACACACACACACACGCACACACACACACACACCCACGCACGTACGCACGCACACGCGCACACGCACCCACTTCACGATCACATGCACACCCACACCAACACACCCACACGTACACACGCACACCCGCACACCCGCACACCCACACCCACACCCATCCCACACCCACACCCACACCCACTTCCACTGACGTACCCACACCCACACCCACACCCACTTCACACCCACTCCCGCTCCCACTCCCACTCCCGTTCCCAGGCCCACTCCCACACATACACCCAATGTGAATTCATACGCGTGTTGCGTATAATCACCGTAGACATGATACGCCAACACGTGGGAACCACACGCACACATATCATGTGTTTGCTCATTTGGGGTTTACGACACATGCTTGTTATAACTTGGAACGGATCGTGAGGCCTCTGGTGCCGTGGGGTCCCAGAGCCATATGGGAGCGGTTTGGGCCATCCTGGGCCACCGAGGTCCCTGCCCAGACCCGAAGCATCGTGATGCTATTTTTCCCCACATCCTAAGTGGGGTTCTTGTTTTCTCTGCGCACCCTCCGCGCAGGATCTCTCGTCCTCCTCCCTCTCCTCTGCTCCTCTTTGCTTCCTCCTCCGCATCATCATCACCATCACCACCACTCCCCACTCATCATCATCATCATCATCACCATCAGCATCACCATCACCATCGCACGATCACTCACCATCATCGGCATCGAACGATCATCATCATCATCATCATCACCACCACTACTCGCTGACTCACCACTTCGTCCCCGTCATCATCACCACCATTTACCATCATAATCGCACGATCACTCACCATCAGCACTCATCATCACCACCATCATCATCACGCCGCCATCATCACCACCACCACCATCATCATCATCATCATCATCATCATCATCATCATCATCATCATCATCATCTCATATATCATCATCAAACACCGTCGTCATCATCCCATCACCATCATCCACCAAGAGGGAGCTTCGTCTGTGAGTGAATTGTGAGGAAGTCTCAGGCGGGAGCCCCCTCCCTATGGGGCCCGCAGATCATGTTACTAATCCGAGCGGGTCATCGGATTCCTGTAACTGTCGTCACTTTTGGGCTCCTCAGGTCTGAATTTGGAGGACGTATCAAGCGGGAGCCTCGTCTGTGAGTGAATTGCGAGGAAGTCTCAGGCAGGAGCCCCCTCCCTATGGGGCCCGCAGATCATGTTACTAATCCGAGCGGGTCATCGGATTCCTGTAACTGTCGTCCCTTTTGGGCTCCTCTGGTCTGAATTTCGAGGAAGTATCAGGCGGGAGCCTCGTTCGTCAGTGAATTGCGAGCAAGTCTCATGCGGGCGCCCCCTCCCTATGGGGCCCGCGAATCATGTTACTAATCCGAGCGGGTCATCGGATTCCTGTAACTGTCGTGACTTTTGGGCTCCTCAGGTCTGAATTTGGAGGAAGTATCAGGCGGGAGCCTCGTTTGTTAGTGAATTGTGAGGACGCGTCAGGCGGGAGCCCCCTCCCTATGGGGCCCGCAGATCATGTTACTAATCCGAACGGGTCATCGGATTCCTGTAACTGTCGTGGCTTTTGGGTTCCCCAGGTCTGAATTTGGAGGAAGTACCAAGCGGGAGCTTCGTCTGTGAGTGAATTGTGAGGAAGTCTCAGGCGGGAACCCCCTTCTATGGGGCCCGCAGATCATGTTACTAATCCGAGCGGGTCATCGGATTCTTGTAACTGTCGTCACTTTTGGGATCCTCAGGTCTGAATTTGGAGGAAATATCAAGCGGGAACCTCGTCTGTGAGTGAATTGTGAGGAAGTCTCAAGCGGGAGCCCCCTCCCTATGGGGCCCGCAGATCATGTTATTAATCCAAGCGGGTCATCGGATTCCTGTTACTGTCCTCACTTTTGGGCTCCTCAGGTCTGAACTTGGAGGAAGTATCAGGCGGGAGCCTCGTTCGTCAGTGAATTGCGAGCCAGTCTCAGGCGGGAGCCCCCTCGCTATGGGGCCCGCAGATCATGTTACTAATCCGAGCGGGTCATCGGATTCCTGTAAGTGTCGTCACTTTTGGGCTCCTCAGGTCTGAATTTGGAGGAAGTATCAAGCGGGACCCTCGTCTGTGAGTGAATTGTGAAGACGCGTCAGGCGGGAGCCTTCCTATGGGTCCCGCAGCTCACGTGGTTCCTCCGGGTCATCCTCCGGCGCGCGCTTCCTCTGGGTCGTCCTCCGGCGCGTATCGGCTGGGACGCACGTCGTGCGCTTCCTCTGGGTCGTGTTCCGCACGAGGACGAGGAGGAGGAGGATTGCCAGGAAAAGGAGGAGGGATGATGCAGGACGAGACAGGAAAGCAGGAAGAGGAAGAGGCTGAGGGGAGGAAGGACGAGGAGGAAAAGGAGGAGGAGGAATGCCCGAGGAGGCCCCAGTAGGTCCCGGAAGGCCCAGAAGGCTCCAGGAGGCCCCAAGAGGCCCCAGGAGGCCCCAGGAGGGGGCAGGAGGCCTAAGGAGGAGGCAGGAGGAGGAGGAGGAGGAGGAGGAGGAGGAGGGGGGGGAGGAGGGGGGAGGAATATGGAAACGAGGAGGAGGAGGAGGAGGAGGAGGAGGAGGAGGAGGAGGAAGCGGATGAGGGAGAGGGAGAGGAGGAGGACAGGGGATGAGGAGGAGGAGGAGGAGGAGAAGGGAGAGGGAGAGCAGGAGGAGGAGGCAGGAGGCAGGAGGGGCAGGGGGAATGGGGGGGAGGAAGCATAACGAGGGGGAGGGGGAGGAGGTGGAGGAGGCAAGAAGAGGAGGAAGAGGCAGGGGTTGAGGCAGGAGGAGGAGCAGACAGGAGGATAACGAGGAGGCAAGAGTAGGTGGGAGAAGGGAAGGGGCAGGAGGATACCCCCATGCAAGCTAAAGAGATTCTCATGTGGGGTCCTTCCGTCGGAGTAATGAACTGGATCAGCAGCCAAATCCTCCGAAACAGGGCCAGGGCCCATGCCCGCGGGGTCAGATTGGGCTATTGGATTTGTCCTCGCGCAAAAATGGATGGCGCGGCTACTGCCGTGGCCCGCGAGAACCTGGAGACTTGCGGGGCCTGCGAGACTTGGACCTGTGGGACCTGTTGGACCTGCGCGGCCTGCGAGACCTGTGGGGACCATCCAAGCCCCCTGGGGGAAAGAACCCGAAATTTCCTTATGTCCACCATGTTTTCCTGGAGCGGGGGGATCCACATTTCGAACGTCCCGGAGTGGCCGTCGGAAGCCTCCAACCAGCCACCCCGCTGGTAAACGTGACGCAAGTGTTATGCCGAGACTGAAGGCGACTCTGCCACCGTCGCCGCCGTACACTGCATCCGCTAATCCGCAGGCAAGCCCAAGAAACCGTCACGGAGGCAGGCACGACCCCAGATGGCACCAACAGACCCCCTGGGGAGCTCACGACGGCCCACGATGGCTCCGAAGTGTCGCACAGAGCCCCAAGACAGCCCAAGAGTGCCCCACGAAGCCCCCGAAACAACCTAACATACATGAACCCAGGACAAACCCAATCTGGCCCAAGAGTAGCCCGTGAGAGACACAAGAGATAGTACGCCCCCAAAACGGCGCCTACGAGCGGGTCACATGTCGCGGCCACTGCACGGGTATGGGCCACGATCTGTCGCGTGGCACGCCTCTCTCGGCGGCGCTCGAAAACCCGCCGCGCCGAGAAAGGCGCCATCGCGGCGCGCGGGACCTGCCGCGACCGAGCCAGCACGACGCACACGCCCGACTTGGCCCTCGCGCAGCCACGACGCGCAAGCGCTGTCCACGACGTCGCGCCCTCCACGGGCCGAGCGGGCCCTCCGCTCGGCGACGCGCGCAGCGAAAAAAGCCAGCGGAACCACGAGGCGACACGAGGCAAAGGAGGCCTCCCTCGCCCCTCCCCGCCCTGCTGCTCCCTCCCTCCCCCCTCGTGCTCCCTCCCCTGGCCCCGCCCGCATGCCCCAGCACGTGGGCGTCAGCTCCACACCGGCACCCTTCTCCGGGTCCACACCTCGGCATCTGCCCCGTGGGCCCGGAGACTGATCTGGGCTTCACTAGAGGGGAGGACTGCTGCAGGAGAGAGGCGAAAGCGAGGGGGGGCTGAACTGAGAGGAAGGTGCGTCTCGATGGCAGAACGGCAGGAGGAAAAGGACTGTGAGGGCAATGCGTAGATCCAATGGCGACAGCCTGCCAGAATTCGAGCAAGGTTCAGTTTAGTTCTTCGGTCGATAGTTGCTAGTTTGGAAATGCTAGCGTAATCCTCGAAACCATACTACCCTACCAGAGGGGACATTGTAACGAGAGAAATGGCAATAAGACGGTCGAGTGCATACGAGCATGGATGTTGACAACACGCGGTGGATGAACATAGCGGCTCACGAAGCCAAATTGGCCTGTACAGCTACAAGGTTCAATGAGGTGTGTCAAACGGCGTGTATCTACGTAGAACAAATGCATGAAACTGAGCAGACGTGGAAACGGAAGGATCGGGAGCAGGGGAAGAGAGACGATAATGAAGGAGGAAGATGGCGAAGAGGAAGAGGATGAGGCGAAAGAGGAGGAGAGGTCAACGGGAATGGGAAGGGATTGGAGATGCCACAGGAAAAAAATGTGGCGGAGCGAGGAAAGGGGGGCTGACAGAAAGATCAGGAACACAGTGGGGAGGCTGAGGTGGGGAGCGACAAAGCGCGGGAGGAGCAGGATTATCATGAAGAGCGGGAGGGATGTGGGAGGGGAGGCGGGGGACTTGGGCGGGGGATGGAAGAGGAAATAGGATGATGAGGAGGAAGCGGACGAAATGTGGAAGGAAGAAGGCAAGGGCTAATCAGACCATGCGGTGGCATCGGCACAACGCCCAGCTCTGAGTGCAAGTGGCATGGTCCGTGATCATACGGACTGCGGCCGCCAAACGCCTAAGGCCCACGCGAATGTGCGGGCCCTCCGGGTAGACCTGCTGCGAGATCCTGCTCCCTTCTCCTCCTCCTCCTCCTCCTCCTCCTCCTCCTTCTCCTCGTCCTCTTCCTTCTCCTCCGCCTCCTCCTCCTCCTCGCCGTCGCTGCTGTATGCGTCGTAGTCTTGCTCGCCAGTCTTTGCCCTCGCCCTCGTCCTCGTCCTCGTCCTCCTCCTCCTCCTCCTCGCCCTCCTCCTCCTCCTCCTCCTCCTCGCCCTCCTCCTCCTCCCTCCCTCCTCCCTCCTACCTCCTCCCTCCTCCTTTCTCCCTCCTTCCCTCCTCCCTCCTCCCTCCTCTTCCGCCTCCCTCCTCTCCCTCTTCCTCCTCTTCCTCCTCTTCCTCCTCCTCCTCCTCCTCCTCCTCCTCCTCCTCCTCTCCCCCTCCCCCTGCTAGGCCACCTCGGTCGCGGTTGGAGGACTCATCGCTTCGCCGGATGCTTGGGATCTGGCCATCCCCATCCCTTCCCCCGTTGCCCACCTGCGCTGACCCTGCCACTTCCTCAGGCCACGGCTCGGTGGCCCCCGCGAGGGCCCTCGCTCTCACCGGCCGCGGGTTGCGGACAGAACGCCACCACCTCGCCACGTCCCGCGCGCTTCACCCGCCCTCTTCATCGTTCCCCTTCTAGCCAGGTTCTGCCACTTCCACGGGCTGCACGGTTTCCTCCGGGGCCGTTGGCGACCCGAGGAGGGGGAGGGGGAGGAGGAGGAGGAGGAGGAGGAGGAGGAGGAGGAGGAGGAGGAGGAGGAGGAGGAGGAGGAGGAGGAGGAGGAGGAGGAGGAGGAGGAGGAGGAGGAGGAGGAGGAGAGGAGGACGGGTCGCCTGAGCCCTCCGGAGAAACTCTCCATCCATCGCACGGCGCACTGTGTCGCGTCGCTTGGGGAGCCTGCTCGCCCTCACGCCCTGCTGCAGACACGGACTGTGGCCACTACGCAGCAACCTGCTGGCGCTTCACCTCGGGACCGCTCGCGCCATCGTTACCGACTGCTCCTGGTGCACTCTGCCCAACTGCGCTGTTCGGGGACCTACTGACCCGGGTCAATCCAGACCCGGGTCAGTCGGGCTTTGCCAGGTCCTGCGCGATCCTGCAAATGGGGAAACCAAAAAGTACCGATACCACTACTCCCCAGACCTCTCCCGGGGTCCGTTCTGACCAGAATTCCGAAGTGAATCCAGCGGTGGCGACGAGGGCCTCCAATGAGGCCACAAAGGGGAAAACGAGGCAAGGGTAGAAGTATGGGTAACTTTTTCCTCCCCTGACAGTCGGGATTTGCAAGACCCTGCAAGATCCTGCAGGATCCTGCACCCAAACCCGGGTCAATGCTTAGGTCGGGCATGTCCTCCTACAGGCGGACTTTGAAAGACAAATAATCCGTGTGCAAAAACATTCAAACAAGGGTCAAACTACTTCAAATATCGTCTCCAAACCATGTTTAAACCACTTCTGAATACTCCTCCTGTAGAGGGACAGGCCCGGCGCGGGTCAATGCACTGCATCCCTGGCTCGACAGGATCCTGCGACTATCCTGCGCTCTGGCCGACCCCCTGGGAGAGGCTCAGGCCACGGGGGGGGGTCCCGCCACGGAGCTGCTTCGGGGGGGCGTCCTCGCAGCAGTGCTGGCAGAGACGCCACTGCCCTCGCCTGAGCGAGGCTGAGATGGCTCCAAGATGGTCAACGAGGCCTCAAGGACGGCCCGCGAGCGCTCCAGGATGCCCAGGGTGGCCTCAAGAGGACTTCGGAGCAGCACGGAGCGCCCGAAGAGAGCCCCAATACCTCCCCCCAGACGGCCCTAACTAGCAAACATCATGGACTTCCTCAGGTTTTCGACATGGATTTCCACATTCTCGCCCTTTTTCGGGCTTCTGGCACTCCAAGTCGGCCCAAGATGCATTCAAAATCGCCCCAAGATGGCCCGAGAGGGCCTCAAGACGGCCCAAGAGGGCACCAAGACGGCCCCATAGGCTCCAAGTATGGCCCAAGAGAATTCCAAAGAGGCGCAAAGAAGAGCGTTCTTCGCCTCAGAAGTCTCGAGGAGGCCTCCTACAAGCCCCCGAGAACCCCCAGGAAGACCCAAGAGGCCGAAGGTCAGACGTCCAGCGGCCCCGGAGAGGCCCCACACCCGTAGGGAGCAAGCTGCCCGACGACACTTCGCAAGGCGCGTTCCTCCGAACCGCGACCACGGATTCGGAATCCGGCGACACTCCGACCGGCCCCGAGAAACTTTTTTGGTCTGCGGGTCGAGAGCGGGCCTCTTCCGGTTACGGTTAAGAGCTAGGCGGGGCGCGCAAAGCACTAATTGGGGAGACAGGGCGCCAACCCCGAGAAACATTTACAGGACCCTTACAGAAAAACTGTTTTGGGAAAATAATGTGGTCTGTTCGTTGAGGTCGGTTCTTCGATCGCGAGCGAAGACGCCACCTGGCCCGAGAGACCTCCGCGCCCAAGCGAAACTAACTGCGCAGCAGCGAGCAGAAACCCATACCGGGGAGGAGGGGGGTCGAGGGACCTGGAGCCACGGTCTGGATGGCCAGCGGGGGGCGCCAGGGGCCCCGACGGCGAGGCCAGGCCAGGAGGACCAGCGGAATCACCACAAGGAGTGCTTGTGAGCGATGGTGGTGGGGGGCATCAGCGGGAGAGACCGCTGCGGCGGAGGAGGTCGGGAGAAGGAGGAGGAGGAGGAGGCTCGGCTCGGCTCGGAACCCTTGGGTGCGGCCAGACGGAAGTCTCGAATCAGCCTCGCACCTGGGCGTCGCTTCGCGACAATCGAAATGAGGACTAATCAACCTTGGTGGCCACCATGGCCAGTCGGGCTCCGCCCGCACGGCCGAGCGGCCCGCCGAATGGCGCGCAGCCTGGCGGGTGCCCCCCTCACGGGGACCAGCTCGCGGATCCGTCACTCCCGACCCCCCACCCTCCAACGTCCCACCCGTCCCATCCTCGAGCCGATCCCCGAGAGTGCTTCTATTGCTGGTGAGCGCCGTTCCGACTTCCCTCGAGGATCTAACCACCCGTGCTGGGGGTCGGTGGGCACTACCCGAGGAACGCCTTAAAAAGTTGGCTGCAGGGGCGGCGGGCAGAGACTGGCTCGAAGCAGCGTCCCTCCCGCCACCCGCTCCTTTCCCTCTGCGTGCTCGGCGGGTCGGACTCAGCACTTGCGCGGCGGACGTGGGCATGAGCGGTGATGCATACACCGTCGTCACTCTCGTCGAGGACAAAACTGCAGGGCTGACAATACCCTTCGCAATCAAAGATGCCAGCCTCTCACTGCTGGCCATTAGAGCTGATTGAGAGCCTGGAGCAAACTGCCTGCCTCTCGCTCCAAGGGGCCCCTCGGCGCTGGGCCATGCACCGCCTCCGCCTTCTCCACCTTCGCGAGGTAGTCCACTAGGATCGGGCACAGGGAATTGGCGGTCGGCACCCTCGAGTTCAGCACGAACGAGAGGACCCCCTTGGCTTCCTCTCCCGTGGCCCTCGCCTTGCGGTACTTGCAGTGGAGGACCTGCTCCGCGATCTCCTGGGGCTTCTTGGCGGCGATGATCTGCTGCCAGTACTCGAGGGAGATCTTGTGCCCGTCTGCGTTCGGAGCCCCCCCCCCCGGCGCCGTGATTTCCATGCTGCGCTTGATGATGGCGCCGAAGAGGTGGACGTGAGGCGGCCCGCGGGCCTTGAAGTCGACCGACCCCCCGCCCGCGACCTTCTCGCGGAGCCTCTTGCTCTCGCCGTCGTAGTAGATGCCGCTCTTGCGGCGCACCTGCCCGAGGCTGCCCTCGGCCTCGCTGATGAACATCGCGGTGTAGCGCACGCTCTCGAGCTGCGCCGCCTGTCGGGCCGTGGTGAGGGCCAGCTTCGCGATGATGACCAGCAGCTGGTCGGCCTTCTCCTTGCGGTTGCCTGACTGGCCCCGCTTCGGGCGCGGCGCCGATGCAGGGGGCGAGGCCGCCCTCGCCATCCAAGAGGGCATCGCCACGTCCGAGGTCATGGCGGAGACGCTGCCGCGCGAGGAAACACGCCCCCGAAGAAACCGACCAGGGAAGGTGAGCCCGAAGATGGCTACAGAGGTCGTCGTAGTCGGCCGACTCGTACGAGCAAATGCGGCACCCAAGATCCCTCGGTTCAACTCTGGTCGCAATCGCACTCGGCCCTCTCGTTCCGCAATGCCCCCTAAATATCGAACCCTCAAGGTCTCGATAGGCCGTTTGCCTACTCCAGAAAATCTTCCTACACGCAATGCATTCGCTGGACGGGCAAAGCAGAGCAGCTAACTTATAAACGCCGTGCTTGTGCCTCAAGTGCTCAGTGAGTCCCCGCTTCGTGCAGAAAGAATCGCCACATTGCGCCCCCTCCCCTTTCGTCCAGGAACACACGTACGGGCAACAAAGTCGGGGGGGGGAGTCGAGCCCACCAAGGGCCCCAGGGTCAGAGACACCGCAAAGTGGGCCAGGGGGCGCAATCGTGGCCGTGAAATGGTGACTACGCAGACGTCTGAAATCCAGGCGAACGAACTCCTCAAATAATTCTTCATCCTCGATAAGGAGCCAGGGGCGGTCCGCGACACGCAAAAGCACATCCCTGTCATCGGGCATGACATCGATCGCGGCTCGAACGTCGTCCTGGATGCGTTTGGCCCAGGGACTCGCAAACTGACTAAGGCCATCCTCTGTGCACGGCCGCTTTTCCGCAGGTTCAAAATCAAGGGCCCCAAAGAGCATTGCTAAAACATGCGCGTGCACCCGAGTCCGAGAGGCCCAAGATTGATACCAGCCTAGCCTACGGATTCGGAGCTCCATTTCGCACTGCACTAATTCCCAGGAAGCCAAGATCTCTAGAGAACACATGCGGGCAGTGACCTCCCCCTGTTCGTTGCGTTCGCATGCGGCACCGTGCATGGCAATCTTACAGAGGGAGGCGAGACAGTGGTCCAGGAGCGTGTGTAGACGGGGGCTGAGTAAAAAAACCTCAAGTGCCGACAGGAGGGTGTTTTGCACTAAACCGATCAGTACCGTGCGCCGCCAGCGTCGCGGCGTGCTGGCAGACCAAAATCCTGCCATGGCATAGAAGGCGGCACGGGCAGCCGCCATCCTACGCTCCACCTCGATGGCCGCTGAGGCGTCCTGCGTGACGACCGGCCCCAGGTACCTTGTCGCCTCCTCAACTCGTCCGTCGACTCGGCCCCGTGCGATGGCATGCTGGAGCCACCGCTTGCACTGCTGCGAGCCCGTCCCCTGGATCGTGAAGCACGCCACCTGCTTGTCGCGATTCTGCGTCATCCCATACTGCGTGAGGCACTCGTCCAGGATGTCATCGCTGCTCTTCATTCTCATGAGGGCCTCGTCCATGTCGCAACCGACCTCCAAGGGTATGACGCGGCACAGGTCATCGGCGTTCTTGGACAGCGAGACGTCAATGGTGAAGTCTTCGAAGCCCCCGTGCAGCGGTCCCGTGATCCCCTCCATTCACAGTCGCTGGGGCCACTTGTCAACGGGGGCGACAAAGGCCGCCGCGAACGCCTGCGCCACGAACGGGTCCCCCATGAGGCCGCCCTCGCCCGTCTTCAAGAAGAGGACCCCGTCGCTCGTGTCCACCTCCACGACTGACAGGCGGTACCTGTCACGGCAGAGCGTCTGGTTCTGCGGCTCCACCAAGCCCTCGTCTAGGATGACCTCATCGAACCTGTGCCAGGACACGCTGCCGAAGGCGTTAGCCATGTCCTTGAGTGTTGCCACCCACGACCAGCCCGACTGCCTCAGGCGCCACGCCAACGCCTGAGTCGCCAGCAGAGCTCCCCCCCTACGTCGGTGGGGGGCGAATCCGTGATCCTGTGGGGCCAGCTGCGCTTTGAGCTTGTACGCGAAGTAGCCCTTCCCCACAGCGGGGAGAGAGTGAATAACTCTCCTTCCCTTCATGCCAGGCTTGTCGTTCTTGGCGAGTCCGATGCCCATGCTGCGGTGCCAGTGCAGGGGGGCCTTCTCCGTGCGCCTGATCAGCGTCAGCGCGCGCAGGAGGGTCTCGTCGAACAGCTGCATCCCCTGCGCCGTCCTCTCGAAGCCCACGCCGCGGGGTAGCTGGTCCATGGCCCTGTCGGGCCAGAGGCAGATGTCCCAGAGCTCGAGCGCCGCCGTGCCAGTTGGAACTGTGCGCCTCTTCTTGGCGCGCCGAACGTAGCGCCTCAACTCCTTGAAGTCATCCTGTGCGTAGCCAATGTCCATGGAGTCGGCAGGTGGGGCGGGGGGGGGTGCCAGTTCTGCTTGCGCGCCACTCACTCCAGTCGACTTCGTGTGCCCTCATACCTCCCTGGGCGCCAGGCCTCCCCCGAGCCTCGACCCAGCCCGGCCGTGGCAGCGGGAGGGGGGGGGGGGGGGGGGCAAGGCGGCGCCCGTCTCGTCGCTTCGCGCCCAGTCGACAGTGTCCGAGTAGCCGTGAGAGGCGCATCGCCTCGGCTGTGTCCCTCTTCTCCCAGGCCTCCCGTACCTCCTCCTGGAGCTGGCACCTCTCTGCGATCCTGCGGGCGCGGTGCTCCAACTTCAGCTCAGCCGAGAGCGTCTTGAGCTCAGTCTCCAGCTCCCGAAGTCGGTTCTCATCTGCGTCCAGTCGTTCTCGTCGAAGTCGGGAGCGTTCCTGGAGGAGTTCGCGTCGTCTAGCACATCGTTGGCTGCGCGCCTCTCCCCCAGGTGGCCCCCCGAAGTGCGCGGCGCCCGCCGCCGTGAGGATGCTCTCCAGCTCCTCCCAAGCAGCGTCGGGCGTGCCCTCCATCATGCATGCGTCGATATATTCACTTCTCTCCCGAATCCGCCTCAGCACATCCTCCAATAACTCCTTCTGCCCCTTCCCGTGGCGGACCGCCTGCATCAGCCTCGTGCAGTCAAGGCGCGGCGGGGGCATGGGCGGCAAGGCCCAGGCATCCTCTCGTACGCAAGCTCGAGCAAGAGGGGAAGGTGGTCCCTCGGCGGCGCCCCTGGTAGCACTTGCCACTGCGCTCCCAGGCCGTGCAGAACGTGGCAGCGCAGCACACGGGGGAGCCAGTCCTGCGGGATGAAGAAGTGATCGATGACCGAGCCCGAGGATGGTGTCCTGGTCGTATAGAAGGTGTACTCAACTTTGTCTGCGAAGGTAGACGGGGCGGCCATATGCTGGGCATCCAACAGGCCCCTCACCACCTCACCCGCACCTCCTCGTCGCTGCTCTCGACTGCGAAGATGTCCAAGGGCCAGGGGCGGCTGTGTGGTCCATCCCCCCACCTGCTTCTGGATCCCCAAACCGTCGTTCAGGTCGGCGTAAAAAATTGGCAGCGTCCTCATAGGCGCCTCCTGGAGTATCTGCTGCCACCAGTCTCGCAGCAGCTTCGCCGTGTGTAGGTAGCGGCTGACCTGAATGCGCTCCCTCGGCTGCGGCGGGAAGTAGATCACCCCGACCAAGATGTCAAGGCAACCCTTGCGAATCCGAGCCGCTAGGGCCCGTCCTCCCGCTCCTGGTGGCGATCCCCATGTACGGACAACGTGGGAGTCGCGGAACCGTTCCCCCAGGGCGATGGCGCAGCCCGCGCTGTGGTTCGTGTACGCCCCCTCGATGTACGGCGCCTCCAGCACAAGTCGACCTTCGCACCGACGGCGGAGGACTCCCTCTCCTCCAGAGTGGCAGTGCACCTTGGTGCCCGCGAGGAGGAGGGCGTCCGCGGCACGGCAGCCGATCAGCAGCTCCGAGAGCCTGGCCCCCACAGCGTGGAGCGGGTTGAACGCCAGGAGGCGGAGAGTCGATCTCAGCGCTGGCGCCATGGCGGCTCGCGCAGGTCCTGTGGGAGGACGACCTGCATCAACTCTGCCTCGGTGTGAGGTGCCCCCAATCCCTCCAAACAGGCCAGAACCAGAGGGGCTGGAGGAGGAGGAGGAGGAGGAACTGTAGTAGTAGTAGTAGTAGTAGTAGTAGTAGTAGTAGTAGTAGTAGTAGTAGTAGTAGTAGTAGTAAGTAGTAGTAGTAGTAGTAAGTAGTAGTAGTAGTAGTAGTAGTAGTAGTAGTAGTAGTAGTAGTAGTAGTAGTAGTAGTAGTAGTAGTAGTAGTAGTAGTAGTAGTAGTAGTAGTAGTAGTAGTAGTAGTAGTAGTAATAGTAGTAGTAGTAGTAGTAGTAGTAGTAGTAGTAGTAGTAGTAGTAGGAGGAGGAGGAGGAGGAGGAGGAGGACGACGACGACGACCAGCAAGGCTGGGGCCTTCTCCTCCTTCTTCTTCTCCTTGCCCTTGCCCTTGCCCTTGGCGGGAGCAGGGACGGCTGCCGCTTCCTGGCCGACGGCGCGGGGCTGCTGCTGCGGCTCCTCCTCCTCGTCCTCGCTTGCTGCTGCTGCTCCCTGCCCTTCTCACCCGCACGCCCCCTTCCGCTCCCTCCCTCGCCCCTCCACCCCGACCTCTGATTCCCCCTCGCCCCTCCACCTCGCTGCTTTCTCCCTCGCCCCTCCACCCCGACCTCTCATTCCCCCTCCGTCGCGTCTTCCACCCCTCCCTGCGCCTCTTCGCTCTCCCCTCCTGCCTCCATCTCCTCACGCTTGTGCTCATGCCGTGCTCCTCCTCCCCACACAGGAGGACTATTCGCGAACTGCCAGGCCGGCAGCCAGGACGGCGGGGATGATGGGGGTCTCCCTGCCCGTCGGTATTCCTTCCTGCTGGCCTCACACAGTGCTGGGGCTTCCTGCAGGCTGACAGTGGGCCTTCATCCGATCCGACAAGAGGCCTCATAATCGAATCGACAAGTCTGATCGGCGATCGACATGGGTCGGATCGGCGGAAATCGGCAGCCGAGTCGGGAAAAGTCGAATCGACAGAAATCGTGAGGCCAATATGCCTCCAGTGAGAGATCGGAGCCCAGATCGGAATCCCGAATCGAATCGAATCGGAATCGGAAGCCATCGAAGTCATATCAGCCAGCGTTGACTCCAAATAGATAGGAGGACAGGAGGAGGACGAGAGGAAAATGGGAGGAGGACGAAAGGAGGACGGGAGGAGCAACATCAAACAAGCGCAAGCAAGCAAGCGGAAGCAAGCAAGCGCAAGCGAGCAACACCAAGCAAGCACGAGCCAGCGATCAAGTGCAAGCGAGCAAGGGCAAGCAAGAGCAAGCAAGCGATAGTAAGCACGCAAGTGCAAGCAAGCAAGAGCACGCAAGAGCAAGCAAGGGCAAGCGACTCATAGGAATCCATAGGCATCCATAGGACTCGCCATTGGAAATAGCTGGGGAGTGCCATTGGAAATAAGGGGGGATGCCATTGGCAAAAGGGGGGGGGAGCGCTCAGAGGTGGTGCATCGGCATAGGCATAGGCGTAGGCATAGGAGTTAGGGGGGAGGCATAGGCATAAGCATAGACATAGCCGTCGGAATTAGGGGGCATGGGAAGTAGCGAGGGGGAGGACAACGGACCAATTAGTTGGGTTTGACTTAGAACTCCTATAAGGCATGCCTATTTTGAGAAAATCGAGTCGAATCCAGGGAAACGAAAAATGGCATACACATGAAATATCGGAGGTCCGCGCGGATTTCTTGCATCCGCGCTGGACCGCCCCCTCCCTGGCGAGCGGAGCGCGCCATCGGCGGCGCCGGAGGCGCCGCCAAGGGGGTCCAGCGCGGATCCGACAAATCCGCGCAGACCTCAGAATTGTTTTATGTTAATGCTACTATTCTCGGGGAGACGTAAGACTCGGGTAATTACGGGGGACTCGGGCTGGCCCGACGGGGCCATCATAAAAATCACGAGGCCCAATCTGAAATATGACGCGAGCTCCCGCTGCAAACATCCCACGAAAAACTGGACCGTCAACATCCACGACGCGCTCGTCCAAAGAGGTCGGCAAGCCCGAGTTCCGACCTACTCGAGTCCTACGTTTCCCCGATGTTCGTTCCCCCAGATTCGGGGGAATCGAAACGAGCTCTAGATTTAGGTGGGGCATGTCCCCCTACTGGCGGATTCTGGACGAAACATACCCCAAACATACTCCAAACTGGCCAAAAGGAATACTCGACACGTCGCCCCCAAACTGCTTTCGTATCTCCCTCCTGCCGAGGGCCGCGCCCGACTTTCAACCCTAGAAGTCCGGCGGAACCGAAGCGAGCCCCGACACCGATCACGCCCTCCGCCGGCGGAGAGGAATCCTTAGGAATTCCTAGGGATCGTTCGAAATTCCTAGGAAACCTTCGGAATTCCTGGGGAATCCTTAGGAATTCCTCGGAAACCTTCGGAATTCCTAGGAATCCTTAGGAACTCCTAGGAATCCTTAGGAATTCCCAGGAATCCTTAGGAATTCCTCGGAATCCTCTGGAATTCCTCGGAATCCTCAGGAACTCCGGGGGATCCTTAGGAATTCCTGGGAGGCCGCGGTGCCGCGAGCCGCGAGAGGGGGCGCGCGCCTGCTCCTCGGCGTAGCCGTCCTCCTCGGCCGCCGCGGGGGCCCGGCTCCTGGGGCCGCGGCGCGCGCCACGGGCGCGGGGGCGGGCGGGCGGCTCGTCCCGGCCCGCGCCCGCGCTGTCCTGGCCCTCCCCGTCCCCGTCGTCGGCCTCGCCCGTCCGTCCTCCCATCTCCTCGTCTCTCTCTCTCTCTCTCTCTCTTTTTCACTCCTCGTCAATGTCCTCGTGCTCCTCCGTGACTCGTCCTCGTGCCCGTCGTCGTCGGCCTCGTCCGTAGGGGAACGAGCAATGACGGAAACAGAAAAACTCGGAGCTCCGCGCGGATTTCTCGGATCCGCGCTGGACCCCGCTGGCGGCGCCTCCGGCGCCGCCCCTGGCGCGCTCCGCGCGCCAGGGAATGGGATCCAGCGCCGATCCGTGAAATCCGCGCGGATCTCCGAGTTTTTATGTTTACTCCATTCTTCGTTCCCCTAGTCCGTCCGTCCTCCTGTCTCCTCCTCTCTCCCTCTCTCTCTCTCTCTCTCTCTCCCTCGTCCTCGTCCTTGTGCTCCTCCGTGCCTCGTCCTTGTCCTCACGGCTCCCATTAGCTTGCCAGCGCTCTTTCCAGCGCAACTCCTGCAACATGTGGGGGGGGTCCTCCGACAAGCTCAGACTTCCAGACCCAGCACCAATGACTCTGGCTCTGCAGGGCGCAACATATTTCGGCTGGCAGACGTTGAGCACCAGTCATTCGATCCAATCTGGTCCTCGTCGTCGTCCTCCTCCTCCCTCGCGCGCAGGGAGGAGGACGAGGATGATGAGCAGGAGAGGAAGGCGTAAGTTCAGAACAGGCCACACTAAAGCAAACCAGACCTGGCAATCCGAAGGGCGGGGCGGGGCTTCATGATCGGGAACGACACGCTCCCAGGCGAGTGGAGGAAAGAGAAAAACGTGGACGGCGACAAGGACCGAAACGCAGCGGGGAGGGAGGGCAACTCGGGGTTGGAAAACTCGCCATCGCTCGGACGTCCATTCCCTGTGTTTTTTTCGGTTTCGTGCGTGGTTTTTTCGTCAAATGATCAAGGATGCTCCTCGATGGCCCTCGCCGAAAGAAAAATGCACACGTCCGAGCGATGCCAAGAAAATGGGGGCGGAAGGGAGAAGGAGTGTGGGCGCTGACGCGCGGATCCGCTGCCGGAGGACTAACTAGGTGCGGAGACGCCCCGAGCTGGCTGGCCACTGGCTCGGCGGGGGGGCCTCCTCCTCGTGCCTCCTGGCTCGCTCGCTCCTCCTTCCTAGTGGCTCTTTCATTCATCTCCTGCTCGCTTCCCAATCCTTCATCCTGTAGCACGGACCCTGCTTTGTCAGGGACGGCTATCGCGAGCCAAAAACAAATCCGGACCACAATCGGTGTTGGTGAGTTGGCGTCCCCAAGAATGTTTTGGCCGTCTAGGGTCTAGGGCTCTCTCGCGTCATCTTGGGTCGGTCTGCCTTGTTGTTTGCGCCATCCTTGGCTTCCGTATGTCCGACCCGCAACCGTGGCGGGGTTGTGGGTGAGAGGCCTCTGGGATGCCTGTTTCGATCACTTGGGGAGCCTCTGGACGGCCTCTTAGACGAAGTTGTGGGGCCTCTTGGGGGCCTTTTGGGGTCTCTTCGAGGCCTCTTGAAGATTTTTGTGCCCCCAGTGGATGCTTCGCGGACTATCCAGGATTGAGCTCTCTTGGCCCATTCGATGCCTTTGGAAACCGTCTCGGGGGGCTCTCTTGGCCGTCTTCGGGTCTCTCTTGGAGGTTTCTCGGGCCGTCCGGGTAGGCTCTTGAGCGCTGATGGGGCCGTCTTGGGTCGCTCCGGGGCTCCATTTGGTAATTTTTGGGCTACCCTGAGGCTTCAAAGGCTCGTCGGAATCGACAGCGCGAGATCTGAACAGAACTGTCTTCTCAGGTCATTGAACACTCGCTGGCCCTTTGGGGCCTCCTTCGAGGCCTCTTGAAAGCCTGTTGTATACTCTCGGGTCCATTTTCGGGCAATCTTGGGCCGCATTGGCATTCTCGAGGGCTCCTTTTACCCATCTTAAGCCGACTTGCGGCTGGACTGATAGGTATTAAGGTCGTCTCGCTGCCCTCTGGTGCTCCTGTCGGGGCTCTCTACTGGGCCATCTGGGGACTATCCAGAGGCCCCAGAGGACCATCGGAAGCGACACAACTACATCCATAATTCAGAGCAAGTTATCGGCAGATGTTGGCCTCCTGGGGCCTTTTGGAAGCTCCTTGAAGGCCTTTTGGGGCCTCTCTTGGGGCCCTTGGCGGCCTCCTGCAAGCCTCTTGGGGGATCCCGGGGCCGCTTTGGAGCATAGCTGAGAGGATGTGCGGGGTCTCTTCGGATGTCTCTGGAGAGCCTCTTGGAGGCGGGATTGACGCCTCTCTGGGCCTCTTGAGGGCCTCGTGGTACCCCTGTCGGGCCTCGGGGGGGCGTCTGGGGGCCCGTTGGGGGTCTCCTCGGGGCCTGCTGGCGGTCTCGGGGCCCTCCTGCGGAGAGGGCGCGACGTCTCGATTGTAATCCCCGCTCTTTTTTGTTCCCCAATCGGTGCCTGCACTGAAAGGGGCCCCAGCGGATATTGAAAGATTTGGCGAGAGGGTCCCGCCGATTTTGGTAGCCGGCTGGGTTCCCGGGTTTCTGGTTCCGGGTTAGTGGTTCTGGGCTGATTTCAGTGGGTTCTGGGTTCCCAGGTTCCCGGTCGATCTCCTTTCTCTTCATCGATCCCACCATTCGTCACCATGATCGATCTCATCAAACCGCATCAAACCGTCCACTGATTGGGGTTTTCTCTGGTGCAAAATTGTACGCGTGGCCGAACTTGCGGGAGGGCATGCGGGTCAGCGCGATGCCAACCTTGTCCAGGCGCTCCCTCTCTCTGAAGCGGGGCGCGCCGGGGGCGCCGTGGTCGGTGTGCGCGCGGGCCGCGGAGGAGCAGAGGCGGGGAGGGAGGTGCACGGTTTCCCCTCGGGGCCGTAGGCGCCCCGAGGAGGAGGAGGAGGAGGAGGCCGCAGGGGGTGTGGTTTTTCGTGGGCGGAGCTGCGGGGACCTGCGGCCCAACAGGCGCCGCACGGCTCCTGGGATTGCGGGCGCGGTCGGGCCCAGACTGGTCACACGATGTGCTCGGGCAGAGAGGCCACACCCGCCTCGCAAATCCAATACACGCTGGACGAGCAACCACAAGTGGAAGCACATGCACTACGACAGAAAGATCATGCTCCAAACGCAAGGCTGCATGTGGGGGGTGCTCTTCGGGTAGACGCACACTGAAGCGCGAGAGTCGTAATGGGGCAGAGGTCCATGGCCTTCGCGGGCAACACCAAGTGGGGATGAACATTGGCGTTTCACCAGCCCAGGACCTGGAAGATGACATGCCCACTTGGAAGATGGCATGCCCACTCTAATTGGAACATTCGGCCAGCAACCTCGGCTTCAGGCAAAGAGGATGAAAACAGGGTCAGGCAAAAACAGACGGCGAAGCGGTCGAAGCGAGCCGACGCTGCCGCGTCCTTCCAGCGTACTTCGGGCCCTGGTTTGTCAGGGCTGACCAGCCGCCCGCCTCAGGGAGGGGATAGAAGAGGCAGGGAGGGGATGAGAAAGGTCGGTGGTAGGGAGGAAGAGGCGGAGACGACAGGGGAGGGGACGGGGCGGGAGGGGAGTGAATGAAATGGAAGGCGCGCCCACATGGGAGCCGAACAGCGAAGACGGCGCCCCCGCCAGGGCCACTGTGCGCCCGCCTCCCGCGCAGCCGCCCCTGCTGCCAGCAGCACTGACCCTGGCCGGAGCCCTCGGGAGCGTCGGGCAGCCCTTGCCAGGGGGGGGGGGCAGCCACGTGAGCGACGAGCAAGAGCGGGTCTCACGCGAGGTGGCACGGACACCTTACGCCGCAGCTTGCGCGGGCCGCCAGCGCGGCACGCTACATGGGAGACGAGAGCGCTTACGCCCGACCTTGCGCGGGCAGCTCACGCACCAGTGTCGGCGCAGACGACTCCGTTTTAATTTTTCTGTGTGTTGCTCATATTGTACCTGCAGCGGTCCTGGACAGACCCGTTCTTGGCCCTGGATTGGTGTATCCGCCACCGTGCCTCGATCGCCCCAGGATGCTCAAGATGGACCCCAGATGGCCAAAGAGGCCTCCAAGACGCCCAAAGAGGCCCCCAAGAGGCACCTCAAGAGGGTCCCAAGAGGGCCCAAGGCGGCCCCAAGACGGCCCCCAAAGGGGCCCCAAAGAGGAAACACTGACCGAAAATCCGAGCCTTCCGCCCCAAGAGGCCCCCAGGAGGTCCCGATAGGCGCCCAGGAGGCCCCAAGAGGCCCCGAAGATGCCCCCAAGAGGCCAGGCCCCGACGATGCCCCCAAGAGGCCCAAAAGAGAGGATGGGCCGAAGGCCGTTAGACACGCCCTTCAGGATTGGCCAGGCAGGCGTATCTGTAGACCGCCCCCTGGCCCAGGATTTTTCTGGCCAGGATCGGTGTGGGTGCACAAATGGTATCCCCCGACATGCGCCCGCTCCCGACATCTGTAGGCGTGTCAGATCCCTTCCTGGATGCAGTGGGACAGCCTCCGGATCCCAGCTAGAGGTGGATTCGTTACGAGGAGGGTGAGAAACACGTAAACAATTCGTCACTCCCCACCCCCCCGTGACTAAACAACTGAGCTGAACCCCGCCAGAAGGCCCTCGGGTAGAGTCCCGACCAAGAACTCCCGTCGCCTTCTTTTTCTTCTTCTTCTCCTCTTGCGCAGCGCCGCCATCGTTGTCGGCTGTGGTCTCCTGTCGGGCTCCCTCTCTTTCTCTCTCTGTCTCTCTCTTCGCAGCGCTGCGCATGTTCGGCTTGAGAGGGACGAGGGGGAGATGAGAGGGAAGGAGTGCGGGCAGACACGTGACTCACTGCACTGCACTGCGAGATCCCGTCCGCACCAGCGATGGCGCACGCCTACTTTTTTGTAGTTTCTTGATTCATATATGTATATATAGATATATTCATCCATACATACATACATACATACATACATACATACATACATACATACATATTTAATTAACACAAAAATGGCGCACACCTACTATGGACATCCCCCGCGCTGCCATGTCTGGGCCCTGCACCGCTGCTCTCGTGCCGCCTCCTGGCTCTGCAGGCTCTGCTGCAAGATGGTAGGACGTGGCTGGGTAATTTTGAAGGGGCCCTAGGGCACGCACACACACACACACACACACACACACACACACACACACACACACACACACACACACACACACACACACACACACACACACACACACACACACACACACACACACACACACACACACACACACACACACACACACACACACACACACACACACACACACACACACCACACACACACACACACATTCACACACACACACACAACGCACGCACGCACTCACGCACGCACGCACAACACACACACGCACGCACACACACACCCACACACACACACATTCACACACATTCACACACACATTCACACACACCACACACACAGACGCACACACACAGACAGACACACACACAGACCACACACAGAGACACACAGAGACACACACAAACACAAACACAAACACAAACACAAACCACAAACACAAACACTGACACAGACACAGACACAGACACACACACCACACACACACACACACACACACACACACACACACGCACGCACGCACGCACGCACGCACGCACGCACGCACGCACGCACGCACACACACACACACACACACAAACACACACACAAATACACACATAAAAAGGATTCCCCATGTTTCTCCATATTTTCTGGGTTTCTGTGTTCCCCCCCACTGCCCATATTTTCCGATATTTTTCAGGGAATCGACGATTAATTGTGTCTTTGCGTTTTTTTCCTCCTCCTGAAATTTGCACCAAGCGGCTACATGCGGACGAAGATGGGACGCACAGGGACATACTAATACTATATGTCCTCCTTGGAGGCGCACGTCCGACCCGAACATGCAGTATACCCATCTTGTAGTACATCGTTTCCCGAGCGGTGTGGCCAGAAAGCGCCCGCCACGACGCATATACTATAGAATTTCTCGGTGCGCGCGTCGCCCCCGGGGGGGGCGACGCACATATATATATATATATATATATATATATATATTCGCTCGTACATGAAGCGATATCTATGTGCGTCGCCCCCCCCCCGGGACGCACATACATACACATATATATATATATATACATATATATATATATATAAGTATGTCGGGGTGGCGCCGAGAACAGACAGATAACTGCCTGTGGTTTTTGCGCGATGGGCACACATCGAGCCAACGGCTCCCTTGTCAGAAGCGGCGGAGACGGCATTCTGACGACCACCCACAGTCTGGACGCTTTTTCACGATCCAGCTGCTGACAAGCGCCATCGGGGCTGGTTCAGTAGTCGTCCCGCCGCCGCACAAATGCTCTCCCACATCTGTCCGCTGTAGGCCACCACGATCGTTTGTGACCGTGTGGCTTGTGACCGCATGAGAACCAGAGGGACGGAGATACATAATGATGGAGGGAGAAACGGAGACAGAAAGAGAAGGGGGGGCCACGGGTGGATCAAAAAGCTTTAACAAGAATGCTGAGAATGCTGAACAAGCCCTTGCCTGCCCAGAGGCCTGGCCAAGGTGGCAACGGTCATTATGGATCGATCGCGTCGTAGGGAGGGGCGGCCTAACATGGGGCGATGCATACAGCAGGGGGCATCGAAACACGAGAAAGAGCGTGTTCTACCGCTGCTGGCGGAAAACCGGGGGGGGCCACTGAGGGTTCCCAATCCGCCCCCCCCCCCCTCGAAAACCCGGGGGGGGTCACTACCGGTTCGAACCCCTCCCACCCCCAGTCCATCATGAAAAGGGGGGGGATCACTACTGATTCGAACCCCCCCCCTCGAAAACCGGGGGGGGGTCACTACCGGTTCTAACCCCCCCCCATCGCCGCCAGCAAACGATTCCCGCTCCTCGGGACAGTTGGACAATGGTGGGGATACTGGGACAGTGGTGGGAACGGTGGTGGTTGGGACAGTGGTGTGGGAACAGTGGGACAGTCGTGCGGACAGTGGTGGGGACGGTGGTGGTGGGGACAGTGGTGAGGGGACAGCGGGACAGTGGTGGGGACAGTGGGACAGTGGTGGGGACTGTGGGACGATGGTGGGGACGGTGGTGGTGGGGACAGTGGTGTGGGGACAGTGGGAATGTGGTGGGGACAGTGGGACAGCGGTGAGGACAGTGGTGGTGGGCACAGTGGTGAGGTGGCGAGGACGGCGGTGGGACAATGGGACAGAGGTACAGTGGGGACAGTGGTGGGGACAGTGGTGGGAACAATGGGACAGCTCAGTGGGACAGCGGCGGGGACAGTGGGACAGTGGGGACAGTGGGACAGTGGTTGGGGCCGTGGGGAAAGTGGGGAGAGTGGGACCGTGGTGGGAACAGTGGTGGGGACAGTGGGGACAATGCGAAAATGGTGGGGGCACTGGTGGGGACAGTGGGGACAGTGGTGGGAACAGTGGGGACCGTGGTGGTGAGGACAGTGGTGCTGGGGACAGCAATGGGGGATGTGGTGCGGACGGTGGTAGGGACCCGGGTGTCGTTTGCCGGCGGTGAGCGTGGGGGGGGGAGGGGTTCGAACCGGTAGTGACCCCCCCGGTTTTCTGGAGGGGGGGAGGGGTTCGAACCGGTAGTGACCCCTCCTGGTTTTCTGGGTGGGGGGAGGGGTTCGAACATGTAGTGACTCCCCCGGTTTTCCGGAGGGGGGGGGGGGGTTCGAACCGGTATTGACCCTCCCCCCGGTTTTCCGGAAGTGGGGGGGGTTACGGGGGGGGGTGTTTTGCCGTGGGGAAGGGGGGGGGGTTCCAGCAAGGGGAGCGATTTTCGGAGGGGGGGGAACCCTGGGTTCCGGAGGAAGGGGGGAATTTTCCACAGTAAAGCGGCGGTGGATCACGCTCTCTCAAACATGAACATGATAAACCTGTCGACCAACTATCTCGGGCCCCTCGGCCAAAACTGCTGCCCAGAGATTCTCAACCCTACTCTGAAGATGCCGACAAACCCACGGGTGACACTACCACCCAGGCAGCCCTCGGCTAAACCTGATACCCAAACATCCCTCCCTGCGACGACTAACATACCCATCACCCGCTGATAAGAACTATTGCACCACCGGAGCAACCTCACGCCCAGGATACATCTGCACCGCTCCCCTGAGAAACTGAGATCCGAAAGCTGCGGCGAGCAGGTCGGTTGGTAAAATCAACCTCGCAGGAAACAAACCACGGGCAGCGCGCCCGTGCACAGACCCCTTTGCCCGCGAGGTGTGGGTGACCCCCGCGAGAGAATGCCTACTCGGGGGCGCGCACACATGGATTCGCGATCCATGGATTTGGCGCGCTGTCGCCAAATCCATGGATCGCGGGAGGTGCCCTCGCCAAAATGCCGCGGGCGCCGCCTCGTCCGGCGGCGGAAACCCGCGATTTTGTTGTCCAATGGAAACGGGGCCCGTCGCCAATCCACGCCCCCTTGATCCATGTTGGCGATCGCCTGACACACGCAGAATCGGTGGACTAGTCGGCCCCAAGGTGAGGAGTCGGCCCCGAGGAGCGGCCACCGTCCCCGGCAGAGCTGGGGCGAGGGTGCCGCTGATGAAAGGGCGGTGCCGCGCCCCAGCCCGCGGCCCCCGGCTCCTCCCGCGGGGCAGCCGGGGCGGCGTAGAAGGAGCTGCCGCCGTCGGTGGGCATCACCAGCTCCCCCATCAGCTTTTCCCCGTCCTGGCCGAGTGAGGGAGCGACGAGATCGACGACGCGGGTGACGGCGACGAGCGCTGATGTCCGCAGCCGGACGCGGGAGCGCGTGGGAGCGTGCACGGAAGCGGGTCCGGGGCTCGTCAAATGATGCTCTTCAACATCATGCTCACTTCAACTGTCTGAGGACTCACCCGTCTGGCGACCCGAAATCATCGCGATGATGTGAGTTCGCAGCTTTCGGCATCCGGGTGTCGCTGCCGTGCCCCAGGACCATCAAGCACTTGCTGGGGATGAAAAGCTGGTCCTGGGGAAGGGACTGAGGGCTCCTGGGGCGAGCGACTCGGAAAATATGAAGTCGTCGGGTCTGGGGAGGAGGGAGGGGACGGGGTGGGCGCAGAAAGAACATAACAGTGATGAGATAGAACGGAGGAGGGGCGCTGGGCAGATTACAGTGCATACAGCAGACGAGGCACATCTGCCTCTCAACTATCAGCGCGTCTCGCTCTACACACCGACCGCCAGCCCACATCAGGGCTGATGAAGGGAATCGTCCTCTCCTGGTGGCCAGGACGTGCATTCGCGTTGCGAGGATACGTTTGGTGACGGTACCAGCTTCACACCTTCAACGAAGGCCAGACTCATCCTGGGGAAAAGGTCGGTGTAGACACCCTCCTGGCTTTTCCAGGGAAGGCATCTGCACCGACCCTGGGCCCGGGATCGGCCTGCCTCTGGGGCAGGAGGAGGCGTATGGTCGACGCCGCCCTCCGACGGTGCGAGGATACGATGTGGCGAGCTCACGTTTCCCTCGAGCGTCATGACGCCCGGGTACCCGACGGCACCCGCGGCCGCGGTGCTATTCGCCGCGGGGCGCCGCGGGGCCGCCGCCAGCGGGGCCAGCGTCTTGCTGTGCCCCTGCGCCCCCCGATGCGCGGCCCGCCGCGCCGAGAGGGGCCCGCGCGCGGAGCCCAGGGCGCGCGGCAGGGGCCCCTCGGCCCTCGCCGGCGCCCTGGCGCCCCGGGCGCTGAGGGGCCGCGGCTCGCGGCGTGCGGCAGGGCCGGCGATGGGCGGCAGCGGGGCGGAGGAGCCCGGCCTGGCGGCGGCCGCGCGGCCCGCCGCCGCGGCGGGCGCCGCGCGGGCGCCGCGCGCGGCCGCGAAGGGCTCGGCTGCGAGGCGGGCGGCGGCCGCCTCGGCCTCTTCGCCCGGCGCGCGCCGGGCGCCCTCGCGGGGCGTGGGCTCGCGGCCGGCGAGGGCGTGCCAGGGCTCGCGGCCGCAGAAGGGCGCGGCGTGGAGCAGCTCGTGATCCCGCACGTACCTCTTGCGCACCTCGAACGCCGCGGCGCGATCGCCGCTGGGCCACGCCAGGCCGTAGGCGTCCCAGAGGCGCACCACGGCCTCACAGAGGCGCGTGCTCTGTAGCTCGCTGCGTGGCACCAGCGGCACGGCGGCCCGGAGCGGCGCGCTGAAGGTGCAGAACCACAGCATCAAGGCCTGCCTGCGGGCGTGCTCCCTCGACCGGAACTTGAGCTCCACGAAGCGCAGCGTGCCGCCGCCGCCGGCCAGCACCCCCAGGGCGCCGTGGGCGCCCGCGCCGCCCGCCCTCGCGGCGAGCTGCATGGACGGCATGGTCGCGGTCACGATGTAGCTCTCCGTGGGCTCCGCCTGTAGGGGACCATATGCGAACCCTACCCCTACCCCCACGATTTCTGAAGGGGAGGCTGGGGTTCACTTCGTTCGGGAGCTCACGAGCGAAGTGAACTCCACCCTCCCCCTTAAAAATCGTGGGGGTCAGGGGTAGGGTTCGCATGTGGCCCCCGAGCCTGGCGCAGGCAGCCGGGCATGCCCCGCGTCAGCAGGTCGTGCACGCCCCGCACGCCCTCCAGCGACGCGTCGTCCGGGCCCAGCACCTCGGGGTCGCCCGCGGCGCCCCAGAGCCACGCGGGCAGGCCGCCCTCGCGCCGCCGCGCGCGGGCGCGGTGCTCCTGCCGGGCCGCGGGCGTGGGGGCGGGCCTGCCCAGGCCGCGGAGGTCCTCGCGCACCAGGGCCGGGCCGTCCGTGCCCTGGGAGGGATGCTGTTCCCCTCGCAGAGGAGGAGGAGGAGGAGGAGGAGGAGGAGGAGGAGGAGGAGGAGGAGGAGGAAGGAGAGGAGGAGGAGGGGAGGAGGAGGAGGAGGAGCAGTCAGAAAGGAGCACGGAGCATCGAGAAGCAGTGCCGGACGAGTGTCTCCCGGGGCCCAGTGCGTGAAGAGTGTGCGGTTTCGGTGCTTTCCTGGTGCTCGAGGCTCTTCCTGGTCCCGGGGCCCAGTGCGTGAAGAGTGTGCGGTTTCGGTGCTTTCCTGGTGCTCGAGGCTCTTCCTGGTGATCAAGGCTAAAAAGTAGGTTGGAACATCATGACCTTGGAGTAGCCCCAGGCGAGGGACCGCTCGCGGACCATCGGAGAGTAGCGGTTCACGGAGTTGATCAGGTTCAGGGCTAGGAAGATGCGCTCCTCCATGTAGAGCACGGCACTCTTCACCGCGCCGACGTAGCGCAGCGCGCCCTCCAGCAGGTGGAAGCGGCGCCGCAGGAGGCTCCACCGCCAGGCTTGCTGGATGCAGACCGCGGCCCTGCGCAGAGCCTCAGCCGCAGAGGACAGAGGATCACAAAAGCCACTAGGGTCACACGCCTCACAAGCCTGAGGGTCACGAGGGCAGGAGGAGATCAGATGGAGAGCAAATCAGTACGACATGAAGTGGAGAGAAGCGAGCCTCCCCATCCTCCTCTTCCTCCGTCTCCTTCACCCTCCTCATCCTCATCCTCATCCTTATCCTCATCCTGACCTTCATCCTCGTCCTCCCTCCCTCATCATACTCCCTTTTCATTCACACCCCTCTCTTCCCTGTTCTTTCCTCCCCCTCCTCATCATCCCTCCCTCCTCCCTCCTCCCTCCTCCTCCCTCCCCTTCTCCCCCTCCTCCCCCTTCTTTCCCCCCCCTTCCACTCTCCCCCCACTTCCCCCTCTTCCCCCTCCTCCTCCTCCTCCTCTCCTCCTCCTCCTCCTCCTCTCCTCCTCCCCTCCTCCTCCTCCTCCTCCTCCTCCTCCTCCTCCTCCTCCTCCCTCCTCCTCCTCCTCCTCCCCCTCCCCCTCCTCCGCCTCCCCTCCTCCTCCTCCTCCTCCTCCTCCTCCTCCTCCTCCTCCTCCTCCTCCTCCTCCTCCTCCTCCCCCCCCCCCCTCCTCCTCCTCCTCCTCCTCCTCCTCCTCCTCCTCCTCCTCCTCCTCCTCCTCCTCCTCCTCCTCCTCCTCCTCCCAAGCGTTGGCTCTGCAGGGCTGACCACACTCTCCTACGCCACCGTACAATAATTTAGCCCACACTGCTACCTCTTCGGCGCTCGTTCAGTCGAGGCAGCGTGTCTCTCTTGGTCTTTCACTTGCGTGAGTTGAGGGCCCACAGGGACAAGTGCAGCCTCGACCATCCGCATAATGACTACGGCGCTGGAGAGGGTCAAGCACACATTGAGTATCCTGCAATTCAATCCCATGTACGCCAGTACCTCTGACAGATTGCAGGGCGTCGCCGACTTATCACAGAACGCTGATTTTACTTATCTCAAGTCAACAGGTGTGCAGCGTTACGGACCAGCTGGTGTGGCTACATGGCGTCGAGTGGGCACTAGATGGTGCCTGGATGCTGGCTGGTTCAGATCTCCACATAACAGTAAGTCTTGTGGCTGTTCTATGCTCCTCGGGCCGCACATCAAGCGCAGCACGGTGGTACAAACATCTGTGTGTCGAATTCCTGGCCGAGGTGTTGCTCTGCGTGCACGCTGTAAGCATTCTGATGTGGCTGTGGTTTCAATTTACTTTCCCCCAGTTCCTGCGAAGGCTTGTCATTTCAAGGCTTATTATCAGACGTGTGATTATCTAATGACATGATTACGGTCATTGCCTTTCTGGAGCGTGCATCGAGTTTTCCCAATCATCTGCGCCGACCTTAACTCGGGCTTTGGGCTCACGCGATTAGAAGGTTCGGAACTTTGGCGACCCATAGAGAGCACAGCGGTTGGACCTCACCACGACAAAGTACGACAGAGATATTCAGCAAAGGTCCTCCTCCCGTTCCTGGGCATGCTCGATATGACGGTGCTCAACACCTACCGTGGATATGGCGCTACATACGTCAACAACAAAGGGCAAGGCAATCAACTGGACTACATCATCGTCCCGAGGTGTTCGTTATCTCAGACTCTCACGGCTGGGCCGCTACGACGTATGGGCAGATCATTACAGGTCATGGCGGCTCACACGCCTCGAGACCACATCCCAATTCACGCTCGACTTGCATATTCGTTTACGGACACACTTGGATTACCGACGGCAGTTTCTGACCATCCGCAGCTGGGCTTTGTGCAGACTGTACACCGCTGGAACAGAGATGCCCTTATGGACGGACTACGCCGAGGTACCCACAGAATGGAATTTCTTCGAAAGGTCGGACAACGGATTTCTGACGAAATGGATGAGTGAAAGCAGTTTCAAAGGGAGGAACCGACATCCAACAGATATTGGTCCTACTTGCTTCAGGTCATCGGCGAGGCAGCGGCTCCGTATGTCACGACTCCACCTTCGCCATCATCGGAGTACAAGCAGCAAGCAGCCCACGTCACCAGTCTCATACAGCAACGGCGTCAACTTCGTGAGGCACTAGGCGCAGCTACTCATATCAACGAGATTGCCATTACTACAGAAGAGCTTCGGGCGCTCAGCAAGGACCTACGACGCCGTCGCCGACGGTACCTCACTCTGTGGCGCCAGGGCATCACCGACGAGCTGGTGGCGGCCCACCAGCAGGACCGCAAGGCCGAGGTTGCTCGCTTGTCTCGCCTGCTGTCGGCCAGGGGCACAGACCCCAAGAAGCGCAAGTATAAACAAGCTGCTGCTGCTGTTCCCTGCTCCGAAGACCTCAAGGCTCGGCTTCAGTTGCTCTCCAGCCAGGGGGGCTTGGAGGCCACCATCATCGACTGGTTTCAGGCGGCCGAGGATTTTGTTTGTACCATCCTGAGCTTGGGCTGGAGACCGAACAGTTCATGTTCCCCTTCACGAAGGACGGCCTCCAGTGGGCCACGGAGAAACTCCAGTTGATATCCAGATACTTTCGGAAGGCCAGTAAACGAAGAACAGCTCCCCCCGTGGTCGCTCCCTCTTGAGCTCTTCTGGATGCTCCTGCACCCCTACAGAAGGATCTCCAAAAGGTTTCGAGGGCTAGGCTACGAGGCTCCTACGGTCGACCAGAAATGGACCAGGTACTACTTAAATGTATTTCTACCTCGAGTTTATCGGTCAAGGCAAACACCAGTAGTTTGGCACTTATCCCACGGCATCGCCATCAATTTTAAGAGGCTCGTGCACGTGTTGTGCCCGTTCGGCAAGGCCTTTATCGCCACAGGCCTCCGACCCGATCAGCGTGATCGGGAGCCTCTCTTTGCGCACGGCTGCGTGGCTGGACGACGACGAGAGACGGCCATGATGATTCAACAGAGTTTGCGTTGGCGTCTTCGACGCCTAGGCTTGCACCATATTCGTGACCACAAGGACATCACTAATGCCTTCGGCAACACCGACTGGACCCACCTCTCGATCACCAACGAGGCCATTATGAAGCCCCAGGCGATCCGCTTTGGTGAACAACGTTTTAGGAGGTCAGCTGTTGCCTTTCAAAGTCCCGACGGGTTCCTCTTCGCCAAGCCTCATGTGGGAGCTCTCCAGGGGGACCCGTGGGCCGTCAAGATCCTCACCAGAGACATAGATATCGTGTTCGAGCAGACCCAGGACGCGTTTATCGAGGGAGATGATGAGACTTCAGACTGGTGTATTGCTGATTTGCCGCAAGATGAGGAGGATGAGGAACCTATCGAGTCAGACCTGTCGTTTCACACGTATGTAGACGATGCTACCAAGACGCTGATTACTGGATTGAGTGGCACCGCGTATCATACCGAGCTCAGCTCCAAATCGATCTCCTACAACACCCTCCTCTCTGACCAGCTCCTCACTCACAACTACCTCCTCAATCCTACGAAGAATGAGACGGTGCTGGCCCTTTTCGGAGAAGGCTCACAGGCTGGCCGCACGAGATTTAATGCCAACGCGCTTCCGACAGCCAGTGTGCCCAGCGACTTCGCCAAGATGCTGGGGGGGCCTCGTGCGTGCAGATTGTACATTCAACAGCGAGCTTTCGGCCAGGCTTGCAGCAAGTGATGCAAGTTCTCACATCATGGGCCGATATTGGTATCAGCATGGTATTCCACCAATTGAGAAGCGAGCTGTATTTCTTTCTCGGGTTCTAGGGCCAGCAGTTTCTGGAGTAGAAGCTTTTATCCCGACACAAGCGCACCTGGATAAACTACAAGCACGAGTATTGCACTATGCACGGAGGGCGATGAGGGGAGGAACAACATACGAAACGGATGGGCACAAGGTCTCGCTTTCCGACATGCAGGTTTATCGTTTTTGGCAGATGGCTCCAGTAGGACATGAGCTTAGAGCGAGGAGGATACATAAGGTGGTATCAGAGGTGGGTAGGGAATCCTAAACAACACATTGCAGAATGGGGAGCACTACTAGGCAGTATGCGGGTCGAGCTCGCAAACGAGTTGCCGATTGTGGGCGACGATGCTCGACTTAGTCAGACTGCTTGTCCCTGGGCTCGCAGATTTGTGGATGATATATCATCGTTGGCAGAGCTCGGGGATGATGATTTCAGTATGGTGCAACAGCTTGATGGGCAGCCTCTCCGTCTTTTTTCAGACTCCGAGCTGATCGATTGGTTCACGATTTTCGACACAAAAAAGATCAGGGCGGCATACTTATCGGTTCGTATTCCTCCTCCTAACTGGACCCCACCACCTGAGACTCCAGAAGACCCCGAGGCGCAGCAAGATGTTGGGGAGTACGGCTGTCCTGTTCACGGGTGCTCCAGAAGGTTCCAGAGTAAACGCCAGGTCCTGGTCCACTTACATAATCATCACGGCCTCAAATCTATGCTCGGGACCGCTGTGGTTAAAAACCAGTGCTTCGTGTGCAACAGAGTGTTTGAATCAAGAAACTCAACATACAAACATGTGGTGGATTCATTCCAGAGTGGAGTATGTATGGTGAATCTCAGTACGACATTCCGAACACCTACACCTTTATCCTCGGACTGGCCGTTGTGTGAGGCTCAGGATTCCGACCCTTCTCAACTTTCACAACATATACGTTCGCACTTTACTCGGCTTCCGCTACTTTTCGACGGTGACGATCATGGCAAGCATCCCAGCCTGGCAGCTCGGCGGAAAGCGCAGGGCCAGCCAGGCCACAGGCGGCGACGATCGACGGCAGCGACTGGAACAGCAGGTGGTCGGCCAGGCTCGTCAAGAGCTCAAGGGCAAGGAGGGCGGCATCATGGCGGCGCTGCTGAGAGTCTTGTGCAGGCTTTCTCTCACCAATGCACGCGATCTCGCGGAAATCACGGGCGCTACGTTCACCTGTTTCCTCCTGCCAGCCACCGCCGCCCTCATCAAAGTGATGCAGACAACAGGCCAGGATTACGCGACGGACTGCAAGGAGCAGGGGAAGCAGCACGACAACGGGCCTCCATGGCCCCACATATTCATGGCGCTGGTAGCTCATTTCCTGACCTCTCTAGCGGACAACAAGGAGCCAGTGGTGAATCAGGCGCTGGCGGTTCTCAAGCACTATTGGACTCAGACGATCAAAGACGACAAGCCCGAGACTCTTTGGCTTCTAGCCGAGCATGTACGCTACTGCCGCATACGGGCGTGCTGGTTCGACAAGAAAGCTGGCAAGAAGGAGGCGGACACCTACAAACTGCAATTCATGATGAGCCCATACATCCAGAACCAAGTGGTCACGGTCGACGGCACGCCGCTGATGACAGTCCACGCGGCATTGCAGGTGTGCATTCGTCAGGAGAACGGCAAGATGAAGGCTGGTGCGGCTCCCAAGGGAGCCTTGGAGAGGGACGCAGAGCGCTTGCTGGCGAAGTTCGGGATGGCTCCAGAAGAGATTCAGAAGCACTTGGCAGCTTAGACGGTGATACTTCGGCCCCCTCCGTCAGTGTGCAACGCCTTAATGTCTGGACCTCTGGTCCTGCGCCTTCGGAGGGGGCCGCTCTTTCCATGGTTCAGAGATTGGATAGCAGTTCTTCTATGGTTCAGAGATTGGATCGCAGCACTCATTCTACGGTTCAGAGAGGTCGCAGTGGCGCCAGCCTCGCGACAGTTTTGGATCGCAGTACTGCGTCGGCTTCAGCGCCTGCCGTTCGACTTCTGCACCTACCTCTGAGGCCTGTGCTCGTTCGAGGATAAGGCAACCCGCTCGCTTGTCTGCTATCGCTCAGTCAATTCGTATGCTTGAACTGGCCCAAGAGGGCTACTTAGGACACCCCCAGCTTGCTAAGTTGCAAGAGAAATCAGCCACCCCAATTTTAGAATACACTTCGGGGGATGTGAAATTCAAGGCTTATTATCAGGAGCCCCTGGAGTTTCGGTTGACGGTGGTTCAGGCTCTTCAGAGAGCCGCTCAGGTCAGGACGGTTTCCACAGACCTTAACTCCTCCTCGTTCTCTGCTGATGCGCGTGCTTCGAGTGCGCTGCTTGCTCCTCCTCCTCCTCCTCCTCCTCCTCCTCCACCACCACCGTCACTGATTCCAGAATCTGATCAGAGTGAGTTTCGCACGTAACGCCACGGCCCCCTCCGCTTCCTGCTGCCCTTCCTCCTTTCCTCCCTCTCTCCTGTGGCTCCTGCTGCTGCTTGCTCTCTTACTTCTCCTGGCCTCGTGCTCGTGTGTGTGTGTGTGTGTGTGTGTGTGTGTGTCTGCGTGTGTCGGCGGTGTCCCGTTCCTTCTCGCCCGTCGTCCCTCTTCGTTCTCTCGTCGTGTCGTTGCTGGGCCGTGGCCTAGCATTGAATTGGGGGAGACTTTCGACTCTCTTCTAATGCGAGCCTGCCGCTGGGAGGATGGTGCCCATGTAGGCCGTCACGGGTCGTTCCCCATTGGACGGTCCTGCTCTGGGCCAGAGGCTTCCCCCCAGCGAGGCTGCAGGCTATAGCCCCGTGCTATCCGCAGATCCTCAGATCCTTATACATATCATGTGCTGGTTTGCTGAGCGTCGCACGACAGTGGAACTCATCAGGGTCGTAAGCGTTCCAGTCCAGTCCAGTCCTCCTCCTCCTCCTCCTCCTCCTCCTCCTCCTCCTCCTCCTCCCCTGCCTCTCCCTCCTCGGGTCCTCCCCAGTCGCTCACTCGCTCTCCCCCCTCCTCCCTCCTCGCTCTCCGCCCTCCCCTACCGCAGGGACAATAGAGGTGCGACCTGCGCGGCGCAGAGGCCACAGGACAGCGCCGCGCGACGGCGGTGGGCGCGCCATGCGGCCTGGATGGAGGTGCTGGCCGCGGCGCGCGGCGCCGCTCTCCCCGCCAGGAAGGGCACGGGCTCCACGAGGGGCGCGGCGCCGCCGGTTCCCGCGAACTGCTGCAGCAGCGTGACGAGGCCCTCCGCGAGCTCCTGGGACTCGCACCTGTAGGACAGGAGCCTCTGGCTCAGCCACGTGGCGTCGCGATGACTGGGGACCCCGACGACGGCGTCGTCCCCGGCGCTCCCCTCCGCCACGGCGGGCCGCACGGGACGGCTGCCCAGCCGCCGCGCCTCGAGCATGAAGCGGCGCAGGCAAGATCCGGGAGCGCGCGCCTCCTCCGGCCACTCCGCCTCCGGGCCGTGCAGCAGGTCCAGCAGCTGCAGGCTCGGCTCGGCCAGCGGGGGCGGCGGCCCGCCAGACGGTGGCATCCGCCCGCTCCAGCGCTCGGAGCTGGTCCAGCTGGTGCCCGAGCCGCAGTCGCTCGCCACGGGCGCCTCCATCTGCACGTGCACCGTCTGCCTCAGCTCCACGGTGACGATGCCCGGGTAGCACGGGTCCTCCTCCAGGGAGCTGCGGGTTCGGCTGAAGCGCACGTGCGCGGTCGCAAACTTCACGTCGAGTTCGCGCAGCATCCGCCGCACGGCCCAGATCTTGTCCTCGAAGGGCAGCAGTCTCGTCTCTGCGAAAGAGCAGCTGCGCTCGGGCAGCGCGCCCGACCTCCTGGGCCTGGCGCCCGCGAGGAAGTGGCCCGCCGGGTTGCGGACCTCCACCGTGAGGATCTCGACTGGGCGGCGCAGCTCGCCGGCGCCCCCGGGGAGGCCGGGCTTCTCGTACAGCGCCGTGTCGCCCCTGGTGACTTCTTCAAGGAGCCTTGGTGGGCTTGTTTTCCACCGCCACCACAATAAGTAGGAGCGGCAGGGGGTCCTCCTCCTCCTCCTTCTCCTCTTCCTCCTCCTCTTCCTCCTCCTACTCCTCCTCCTCCTCCTCGTCCTCCTCCTCCTCCTCCTCCTCCTCCTCCTCCTCCTCCTCCTCCTCCTCATCCTCCGCCTCCTCGTACTCCTCCTCCTCCTCCTCCTCCTCCTCCTCCTCCCCTCCTCTCCTCCTCTCCTCCTCCTCCTCCTCCTCCTCCTCCTCCTCCTCCTCCTCCTCCTCCTGCTCTTCCTCCTGCTCTTCCTCCTCTTCCTCCTCCTCCTCCTCCACCTCCTTGCCCCGCCCAACTCATGGTGGTGGTGGTGGTGGTGTAAAACAGGTCCATCAAGCCTGGCAGCTGACAACGCGCCGCCTGGGGCACCAGATGCGCGCGTGTCGACGCCGCAGCGCTGCAGCATCAGCAGGAACGACTCCTTGGACCAGCCGCGCCGCGGCACGCGGCTGAAGCCGCTCAGCTCGGGCCGCAGCTGCGCCTGCGGGTCCACTGGCAGCCCCGCCGCGCGGCACCTTGGCAGGTCCCACCACTCCCACGTGGTGTCGGGCGCGCCGTCGACACCGCGGTGCTGGAAGGCAGCCTCGTGCGGCAGGCCGAGGTCGGCAAGCCGCCCACTGCCGAGACGGCGGACGGTGGCGTTGAAGAAGTGGTGGCGGCGCAGGCAGTCGAGGCCAGGGTAGTCACGTGACGCGCCCAGGCTCACAGTAATGTCCTGCTGCCAGTCCGCGAGGTGCACGTGCACCGCCCGGCGGGACACGCGCAGCTCCCCGACGACGAGCCTCCACAGGTCCAGCAGCAGGCCGTCCAGGCCGCTGCCCATGGCGCGGCAGCGGACGCTGGGCAGACGGTGCTCCTCCCGCCCGTTGACGGTGGAGGTGCCGACCAGGTAAGCGCCACTGGGCGCCTGCAGCCGGAGCATCACCATGTCCTCCAGGCGCGCGAAGCGGCCGTCGCAGAGGCGCAGGCGGCACTCGTGCGACTGCAGCTCGCCGTGCAGCCTGGCGAGGGCCTCCGCGCTGAGGCTGACGCGCTTGGGCGCGCTGGCGCGCGCGGCGCCGAGGTCGCCCCCGAGGAGGCGTTCGAGGCGCTCGGCGGTCGTCGGCCAGAAGTGGAAGGCCGCCGACGCCTCCGTGGGGTCGAAGGCACGGTCGTCGAGGGAGCCGGGCTCCGTGTCGGACAGGAGCAGCGCCTTCTCGAAGCAGCGCGCCTCGCTCCACCACTGGAACGTGGCCGCTCGCGCTGACGCGAGCCCCCGCGGCGCCGAGGGCGCCCCCGCCCTCTCGAGGGCGTCCGCCAAGGGCAGGGACACCTTCTCGCCCAGCGTGAACCTCCCGTGCAGCCCTCTCAGCTTGACCTCCCTGGCGTCGTGCCACTGTGCCGCCTCGGCGGCGGACCACGCCGAGCCCGGCGGCGGCGCGGGGTCGCCGCCGGCTCGGGCCGCGTCGTTCCCTGCGGAGGGCCCGGGTGCCTTGGCCCGGACCTCGACATCTGCGTCCTGCTCCGGGTCCGCGTCGCCGATCTGGGCGCGGTGCCGCTCGCAGGAGGTCTGCAACCACCTGGGCGACGAAAAATGACACGGGCCTTACGCGAGACGGCATAGCGACCTGACGCGGTGGCTTACGCGGGCCGCCAGCGCGGCACGCGCAAAAGGGGTTGCGCGCGACCTCACGCGGGACGCATGTCGGTGAAGGCGACCCCGTTTACCTGCGTCGCTCACCTGTGCTTCCCTGCCTCCTCGGCCGAGGTCCGCTCCGCGGGCCGGCCAGCCAGCAGCCCCCGCAGCAGGTCGAACTGGTCGTCGCTCAGGCCTTGGCGCGGCAGCTCCACCTCGTCGGCCCGCGGCGCCCGCTCGAAGGGCAGCCGCGTGGCCAGCGCCAGCCAGACCACCACGCCGACGGCCCACACGTCCACCTCGTGGGCGTAGACCCTCTCCTCGATCTCGGGCGCGCGGTACTGCGGCGAAGCCGAGGGGTCGCGCAGAAACACGCCGGCGGGGAGGTGCCGGGCGGTGGTCAAGTCCGAGAGGAGCACCTTGAACGCCCGCCCGACCAATCCGTCGACGTCAGCCTCGTCGATGAGGTAGTTCTCCGCTTTCACGTTGAGGTGGGCCACCTCGCGCGAGTGCAGAAAGGCCACGGAACACAACATCTGGGAGGCCATCTCGCCCACAACGTAAGCCGGCAGGCCCCGCTTGCCGAAACGCATTTTGGCGGACAAGGCGCCGGCAACGCTTCCGCTACATCTGGGAACAACGGTGTAGACGAAGTGTGTGTCAACGAAGACGCTGATGGGCTTGACAATGTTCGGGTGAAACAGTGAGCCGAGCACCTCGAGCTCGTCCCCGAGCAGCTGCCACTGCACCCTCTGGGGCACGGCCTTTCGGTGGCCCCACCATGCGGCGGCGTGCTCGACAAGCTTCACCACGCACGCGCGTGGGTCCGCGCCAGGCTGCTTAGCGGTGCACTCGAACGCCATGCCGAGCGCGCCCTGCCCCAGGCGCGCGCCGACCGCGTACACGTCACGGAAGTCCTGGAGCCCCCTCCGCAGCTCTCGGCCTGCGGCCGCGCCCTTGCCCGCAGGGTCGGGGCCGAGCGGGTGCCCGCCTGGCAGACACGAGGCCTTGAAGGCGCGTCGGGACCTGTTATCCACGTGCGCCAGCCGCCTCCTGACGTGCGCGAGGGCTCGCAAAAAGCGCGGCGGGCCGCTCTGGTTGACTAGCCGGTGGAACGGCCCGTCCCACACATGCTCCGGGTAGCGTCCGCTGTGGCACAGGCGCACCACCCAGTGGTCCTGCATGGCCAGGAGCCTGGTGATGATCGAGCATCGTGGAGGCAGCTCTGCAACCTCTGGCACGCGGATGCCTACGAGACTGGAGGGCTCGAATACGTGGTCGTGCGGCAGCGGCGGCAGCGGCGGCGTGCACTCCTGCCTTGCGACGTTGAGCAGCGCAAGGAACTCCCAAGCGCAGCGCTCTGGGAAGACGATGCTCGGGTGGTTCTTGAAATCGGCTAGCTGCCCCAGCACCTTCTTGCGCGCGAGAAAGCCTCTCGCCCTGCGACAGAGCAACGTGGCAGCCTCCCGCAAGCGGCTGTGCCGCTTGCGCCTCTGCACCCACTCGCGCACCATCATCTCAATGCGTCTTCTCGCGCGAAGCTCGAGCATCTCGCGCGCGGAGAGCATCAGGTCGAGCTGGTCGATCTCTCCGAGGTAAGCCTTCAAGTAGTTCGTCGTGCGCCTCTTCCAGATCCACCTGCGCGCGAAGCACTGGATCCTGACCGCTACCTTGTTCCGCAGGTCCGCCCGGCGCTCCAACATCTGGCGGGTGCGGAGCACCTTCCACGCGCCCTGCAGCGCCAAGGCTGCGGAGCACCGGCGCGAGCGCTCGCGCAACTCCTCCAGCTCGTCCGCGGCCTGCTTCAGCAGCTCGGCGGGCTCCTAGGAGGAGGAGGAGGAGGAGGAGGAGGAGGAGGAGGAGGAGGAGGAGGAGGAAGGAGGAGGAGAAGGAGGAGGAGAAGGAGAAGGAGAGGAGAGGAGGAGGAGGAGGAGAGGAGGAGGAGGAGGAGGAAGAGGAGGAGGAGGAGGAGGGGGAGGAGGAGGAGGGGGAAGAGGAGGAGCAGGAGAGTGAGGGTGAGGGCCACCGAGAGCGCGTCCGATCCGAACACGCCTCAGGAACAAATGAGAACCCTGAGGGGCCGCAAGGCGGCGGAAATATTATGTACTGAGAGGGCGGGCGGGGGCCAGGGAAAACCGACGCCTCGAAACCGCTCCCAGGAGGGCAAGACGAGTTACGTCTGCGCCTTGCCCTCGGGGCGCTTGGGGCGCCCTTGGCGGCCGTGGAAGATCCTGTCGATCAACCCCAGCTGATTGGCCCTCGTGCTCGGATTCTCTGAGAGCCCAGCACAGGGACGACGGAGCTTCCGAACGCTCCGAGACGTCTCGAGGGTCGTCGTGCCAGCACACTTACGGAAACAGTAGACCGAATTCACGCAGAAAACATCATGGCCCAGAGCCGCAAACTCGGCAATGAGCTCGTTCGACCCCGAACAGTTTGAAACCTCGCCGACCACAGGCTCCTGGGGAGGGTCCGTGGGCCCAGGAAGGGGTCCCTCCGAGGCCTCGCAAGGCCCTTCTCCCAAAAAGTCCGCGACAAGCACTTGTGACGGAGCAATGCGGGGGTCCGACACTTTGACCCAGACCTCCCCCGAATTCTTAAACCATTCAGCACAGGCCAGACTCTGGAGGCTAGAGGGCTCACATTTCCTTCCCGACCCAGTCCTAAGCCAAGCTAGAGTCGAGTCCGATCGAGCCGATCTCCCACATCACCTGCACCTATGCTCTTTGAATTTCCTGCACCACCAAAGATCATGATCTGAACCACGTCCGAACACGACTGGCTGCCTCAGAACCTCACGGGCCTCAGGATCCTGAACGGGCGGCGGAGGACCTCGACCCCAACTCTCCGAGACGATGACTCGTAAGCACGCCCACGAAACAAACTGCAACGTGGCCTTATGGACCTTCAGAGCCTCTGTGAGCGACTCAGAAACCGTGTTGGCGATCATGTGGTGCGCCGCGCCTGCCTTGGCGAAGTAATCAGCCCAGGCATTGCCGAGCCAGTTCTCCAACTCCTCAGGATTCTCCAGCACACTGTCGAGGTCACGGTGTGCAGGAGTCCACTCAAAACAAACTGGGTACTCAAGTGCACGACGCTGCGCAGCCTGAAAAATCTCGCGCCATATCCTGGCGTGCTTGCCTCGACCGTGCTGAAGGGATTGATTCCAAGACTTGCCCTCGGTTACCAGCCCCAGGAGATCAGACACGAACAGCTCGTGATCAGGATGAAATTCCAAACCCATTTTGATCGCATATCTCTCAGCACGGCCAACGGTCTGCACATAGAAGGGCAGCGGTCCATACACTGCACGAACAGGCAAAAGGGTCGCGGGGTCCAGCTGGATGCATGAATACCCACACCGCCTAGTCTCTGGAACACTGGAGGCGAGGCCCGAACCGTCGGTGTAGTTCTTGGGGCCCCAAGGCCCGTCGGTGTCGCCCCACAGTAGAACTTCCGAACTTATAGTGTCGTGCCCAGGAAAACCCACAGGAGGAGCAGGGGCCCCAAAGACCAGATAATTGGACTCCCAAGCCAGACGCCCATCATACCATTCGCCCCCCTTCAAGAGCATGCCTCTGGTTGCCCCCAATTCCTCTGAGATGCCCAAGAAGTCCTCACGCTGCGTGAGCAGCTCGGGGCAGTCGTAGAGCACGCGGCCCCAAATACCCTGAGACTGGGCCCCACAAGCTGCACACGGCCTGATTGGTACCTTATGACGGGCATCTTGGAGCTGAGGAATGGGGAGGTTCCCTGACCAGTGCGCTTGGAGGGCCCCGAGTCTACGAACACACTTGGTACTCTTCACCGAGTTGCGTAAGCCTCGGTGCCATATCTGCTCGCCAGGCTCAGCGGTGTAAAAATGCTTGAGCAGCCGCTCGCCCTGCCAACGCTGGATCCCCTGGGTGAGGAACACCTTCAGGTCGGCAGGGCACATAACGCGCAAGTCGAAAACATTGCCTAAATCATCAGCCACCATATGACTAGATACTAGGTTCCACCCAATACGTCGTAAAGTCAGCCAGCAGGCCCCGATCGGGCCTCGAGTGTTAGCCCAGGACAGTGTGCCGATCTTATCTCGGAGAGCCTCCCAAGCCCGATGTAGACGACTGTCGGGTATTCTACCGTCCCAAACCCACTCCGCAAATTTAATAACAATAGCTATGGTGGCGTGGTAAATAGGATCGTAGAATTCGCTCTTGTGGCTAATCAAGTAGGCGGTCACACCAGTGTTAAATTTACCTGGCGCGCCGTTCAAGACGGCGGCGAAAAGACGCAACTCTCGAAGTGCAACGTCGCTTACTCCAGCAACAGCAGCACCGTGCGCCACTGATGGAAGGGCGCCTGTGCGCCACAAAGCCGTCGCGACCTTGCCGACCGCAGACTTCAGCATGGAAAACCTCGCCTTCCTCTCTCTGAGCTGTTTGGGACGCTTCTTTTCCATGCCCCGAATAACCTTGGGCCACGTGAGCTCGTGACCTAGGTTCCTCATGTGGCCTTTGTACGGGGTCTTCATGGAGCCCATGTGGCTCTGCACCCCCTTCCAGAACTTCCGAGAACCAACGACAGCCCCAGACTTGGATGCCTTCAAGATCATGCCGAGACCCTTGGAGTCCTGGATGAAACCCTTCGCGGCCAGCGCAAGGTACTTGGCCTCCCTGGGGTCCTGGGAGGTATGTTGGAGCCCAATATCGTCCATGAGCGTCCTCGGGGTCACCGTGGGGGAGACCTTCGAGACCCTCTGCACCGACCTATAGGTGAGCAAGTACAAGACGTATGTGGCGTGGGTACACCCAGCTAGGATCCCTTGGAAGGACAGAAAAGATCTGGATACACCCCCAAAGGCCCTTATTCGGCGGGGCTGTTGGTAGCTCTGAATGAGGAGCCAAAGCAAACGCAGTGGAAACCCAAGAGCCTGGCCTTCTCGGAGCAGCGCATGTGGATCCACCATGTCATAACATTTGCTCATATCAAGCAGGATTGTACATGTCTGTTCCCCCAACAACTGCGCAACCTCCTGCTGAATATTATGATCAAAAGCCGAGTCCGTAGACGTGTGGCCCGCTCTCGTGCCCCACATCTGGTCGCACTGATAGCCAGCCTGCCACGATGCCGAGACTGGTCTCCTGAGCTTGCCCCAGAGTCGAACCAAAGCGTGGGATAGCACAATCAATCGTGTGTCCCCGTCAGGTTTAGGTAAGCGAACCATTTCACTGTAAACCCGCTCAGGAGGCCAGGACAGCCACTGCTCGAAAAGCATAAACATCTTGGCGATGCGCTCGAGCGCTTGGTCCGACAGGGCGTCCAGGCATCTGGGTGAGATACGGCTCGGCCCAGCTGCCGTACGCGTCGAAAACTTGCGAATGGCAGCCCGCACTTGCTGGTGGTCGAGCTCAGGCAGAGCGGGCCAGCTCTCATGGCCTGGCGGCAGCTCTGGGGGCGACAGGTCGTGATGTCGCCATGCGCCTTCCCACACATCGAGGGTGTGGTTTGCCAGCAGGTACGGCTGGGCGTTCACGTCGAAATTGAGCTGCTCCTGCTTGCCGCGCACCTTGGACGCAGCATGGGCCAGACTGGCCCCTCCTAAGAAAGCCTGCTTGGCCCAGCCACGCCAAGCCTTCTCCGAGACCCCTCTCGCTGCCTTCAACACCGCATCGGCCTTCAGCATGATGTTGTCCAGGCCCGAATCGAAGTCGGCGTCGCCGATCATGCCCAAGCCTCGCAGCAGGAAGTCGACGGTGTCCTGATCTAGGTGGTGGCATGTCTTCTTGTCGCGGGCGATCCTACGGCAATATTGGTCCACCTCGTAGAAGGCCTGCAGCACCTTGGTATACTGCAGGGGCGTAAGCTGGCAGACCACAGAAGCCAACTGTAACCTTTGACAGAACCTGCCCAGTCGATCCCGCTCCGACCTGAAATGCTGACACCATCTTTTGACCGTCGCCCACGCATAGACCTTTGGCTCGCGATGAGTACGACGGCGCGGAGGTTCCCATGCCGGCAGCTTCCACTTGAAACGTGGAGGGCCTGACCTGCCAACGAACGGAATCGCATCCTTGTCAACCTTGTCATAGCGTCCAGCCAACTCGAAATCGACTCCGTCAAGCACCGTGTCCCAAACCAAGGCAAGATTCGAAACCTCCCTCACTTCCAGAAAATATGATCCACTGCATCCCACGGGTACGGGAACCTGGCGCACCCACATGGCGGAATAACAGGGAACGCCCTTGGCTCATCTGGCACAAGGCACCATGCTGGCCTATCTTCACCCATAATATCAATGCTGACTGGATAATGCGGGGGAGGTGCTGTGCCGTACGTGTCCTCCACCACTGCGGTCCCGAGCCTTGACGACAAGTTTGCACAGGCAATGAAGTAGTCGATCTTCGAATTGCCGTCATCCTTGCAGCACGTGGCCGACGGTGGAGTGTAAGACAACCCAGCCAAAGACTCAATCCCCCCCCTCGCATTCAGAGCTGCTATGTCAGAATTCCAGTCACCTGCTAAGATCCAGTCGAACCCCGCAGCATTCCAGAAAGCGACTCTCTGCGCGATGGCCCACAGTATGGAAAGATTCTCACCCGTTAGACCGATGCTTGTCACTAAGTATGCACTGACCACAACCACCCCACCAGGAACTCCCCAATTGACAAAGCTGGCCACCACTCTGCCTGGGTAAATATTGGGGTCGCCATCGGGGGGCTTCGTGATCATCACATTCGTGGGCACCAAAATTGCAACCCCACAGTGGTTGGCCTGCGGACCCTTGGCATTGGTCGCCAAGGCTGGTGCCCACATACCGTGGAAGCCGAGGTCCTTGGCG